AAAAAAAAAAAAAAAAAGAGCTAGATCTGTAAGTGCCAGTATGAAACATGCTCTAAGACATATTAAGGGAAAAAAGTTGAGGACAGTATTACTACATGCTTCCTTTTGTCTACATTTTTAATAGGATGCAAGAACATGCTGGTATGGCATATGCATTAAATTATGTTCTGGAAAGATACATAGGAAACCATCCACTACAGTTACCTTTGAACAGAATGACTAGAGACCCAGAAGAGCTGTACTGATGCACACACATAAAAGCATCCAAGTAACAGATAATCTGGTGATGGGATTTATTTTCTTTTTGGTTTTCATTACACTTTTCCACATAAAAACCCTAAATTCAATAAAATTTATTGTAAAAATAAAACAATAATCATCACTTAGAATTTTTTAAAAAGAAAGAAACTAAGTTTATAGTGAGATGACAAGTGGAAGGGGGAAGAGGGTTCCACAGTGCACAGTCGGAAGCTGGTAGAGGGACTGAAGGGCTGCGGAGGAAGACTCAACACTCGCACTCCCCTTTTCCTTCCAGGTACCGTTGATCTCACCCTTTCTTAAGCTTTCCCCTGGAGATGAGCAGCTCCTGCCCCACTCCAGGTGTCCAGATAGTCACTACAACTCTAGATAGAGTAGACAGTAGGTTGGGAGAAGGCTGATGCGGTTGGTTCAAATCCTGCCTTTTGCAATATGGATAAGGCACAACAGTGGTTCCTGAAGAGCCTGAGTGGGAGAGAACACTTCAGCTGCATATAGGAGACTGTCTTCCTGGCAGACAGCAAAGCTCCTGAAGCACATAGGGCGAGCCCCAGTAGGGGTCCTGCCGCACACACATTTCAACAGCTGGGAAAAGCAAGATTGGGCGTATATGGCACAGAGAGGAGGAGAAATCTCTGCTTCCCCGAGGAGACTCAGGGAGCCCTGCTCAGCACCAAGGACATCTCTCTGGGCCACACAGAACTGCTTCAATAGTTCCAACCCCCTCTTACTGCTCCATGGAGAGAATCAGCTAGGACTAAAAATCATCAACAAGATAGTTCTCTGTATTTAATTAACTACCCCTTTCATTTGAGGCCCATGAAATAAATTTTATAACCTCACTTACTTTCCATGATATTCTTCTGCAATATTACTTTACAAAGTGGGAAATTACCTCCAAGTAGAATTCCCAGAGGAGTTAGCTGGCAATACATGTAAGTTTTTTGCAAAGCAAGGCCAGCTTTACATACAGGAGCCATGAAAAGTCACTTCTCCTCCATGGGATTTAAGGAACATAAAAGAGCCTACTTGCCCCACCCCCACCATCCTTGAATGATGCCTAAAACTCCCCCATTAGAGACTCACACCATCAACTCATGACTGTCCTAAGCGTATACTCTATATAATGCACACAGAGGGAGAAACACCTTGGATTCCTAACACCACAACATGCTGACTCTTAACTTTTTGTTGTTGTAGTCACTGGTCTTTTAGAGAAATTAGGAAAAGTCAAAAAAAAAAAAAAACTCCCTTCTCTGAAAAATGCACTTATGTGAAAACACAGTATGTAATTTCCATGTAATTTAGGGGTTCACAGTTCTCCTAAAGCCCATTTAGAGAGTCCCTCCAGGCCAGGGCTAAGAACTCCTGATTCAGCAGCAATGAGTTGGCAAATCTCCCCCCACCCCACCACCCCCAACGAGGGAGACTGTGATTTCTCCCAGGCCTAGGAGAGAAGGCAGCACTAAAGAGGACCCTCACTACTCCACAGTCACCTAGAACTGACCCTATCTAGAGTGCTCAGTTACTAGGCAGGCCTCCTCCCCAGCAAGAAGTACATGTTGCTCACTGTCTGTTCCTTGGAAACAGGCTCTCTTGGCTTCAGAGACACCAGTACATGTTAGGAAACACCCAACGGAAAGAACTGCCAAGTGGATTCTTACAATCACTTGAGAAGAGGCGAAAGTCTTAACACCTAATGAGTAAAGGGGACTCACCTCTGAGGTTTTCGAATATCCCAGAGGCCCACTCCTTCCTTTGAATTGGCTGTGGCCAACAACCTGGGCTCCACAGGGTTAAACATGACACTGTGAAAGGCTGATGGATAGTTTGCCAGGCAAAAGGGCTCTGTGGAAAAAGAAGTCATGGTCAGTTCATGCCTGGACCGTGGCAGGCAGCTGAGCAGGTGTGTGACAGCAAACAGGGCACACTCTTGAACAACCATCCAGCGGCCAGGAGTCCAGGACAGGGCCTCCTCTCAGCAGTACCCGTACTCACAAGGTCCTTGTGAGTCCTGCTCACAGTGACCCAGACACAACCACATTCTGAGCTGCAATGCTCAGAAATAGATATGGAACCTATTCAGATCCTGTGACAAAACAGAAACGGCCACTTAAAATGAGAAAGTAAGCTGTTTTACAGTAAGTAAAACTGAATTACATGTGAGAAGAAAAAACTCTCAAGTTACTGGTGGGATGATTATACATGTTTTTGTTTTTGTTTTTGAGTTGAAGTTGTACCCTATCACCCAGGCTGGAGTGCAGTGGCATGTTCACAGCCACCACTGCCTCGAATTGCTGGGCTCTGGCAATCCTTCCGCCTCAGCCTTCTAAGTAGCTGGAACTATATGCACATGCCACCAAGCCTGGCTAATTTTTAAAAATTTATTGCAGAGATGAGATCTCACCAAGTTGCCTGGGCTAGTCTCAAACCCGTGGGCTCAGGCAATCCTCTCACCTTGGCCTCCCAAAGTGCTGGGATTATAGGCGTGAGCCACCACGCCCGGCCTGGATTATTATGCTTTTAGCCCATATTTATTAGTTTTAGAAATTAAGCTTAAAACTGCCCACAGATTTAATGAAAACAAAGCAAAATAATAATGTAGTCTCCCCTCTGGTATACAATTGAAAATAAAGTGGCCTCTGTCTAGAATTTTATGATTTTATATCAAGTACTAGAATAATTAAAAACAAAACAAAGGCGGGTTCAGTGGCTCAGCCTGTAATCCCAGCACTTTGGGAGGCCGAGGGGAGTGGATTGCCTGAGCCCACGGGTTTGAGACCAGCCTGGGCAACTTGGTGAGATCTCATCTCTGCAATAAAATAAAAAATAAGCCGGGTGTGGTAGTGCGCGCCTGTAGTTCCATCTACTTGGAAGGCTGAGACGAAGGATCGCCTGAGTCCAGCAGGTCGGGACTGCAGTTGCTGGGAGTAGCCACTGCACTCCAGTCTGGGTGACAGAGTGAGACTACAACTCAAAAAAAAAACAAAAAAAGGTACCTAGTCCTTGAACTTCTCTTTCATCCAGCCAGCTCTAACCCCCTAGAAACCCTGCATCCCTTTGCATAAATGAGCAGGTTCCAAGGGAGGAAGAAATCACTTACTTCCCTGGGAAGACACGCTCTTGAGGAGCTTGTGAGAGGAATGCCCAGAGAGCACTGCCCACTGCCCAGTCTGTGGCTTCCACACCAGCACTTCCCAGGCCCAGGGGGCAGGCAAAGCACTCAGTCAGCTCAGCCTTCAGGCAGGTCAGGCAGAGGAGAACGTCTGCCAAGCACACAGCCACTTGACTGAGCTGCCACTTCCTGCTGTCTTACCTGCCTGACTTACCAACAAGTTTCTTGTATAGCCTTAACCTCAATGATGAGCACAGCCTAGCATGTTCACTGCTTGAAATACAGAAAATGTTAAAGACCCAGATCCTGCCAGATAAAGCAGGCAAGACAGTGACCATGTACACAGGAGTGATCCTTACAAAGCTGCACTGAGGACTAGGCGGGCATCAGGTGACACTAAGGGTGGTGCTGCAGGAAGGGACCTTTTGAAGACAGGCAGAGTCACAGAGAGAATCTCTCTGCAGGAAATGAGCTGAGAAAATTAATTTCCTGAAGAACATCAGAGAAGTAAACAAAGCAAGTTCTTCATTTTACATATCAGAGTCTCAAAGGGCACATCTGGAGAAGGCAAGCACATGACAATCCTCTTTAAACAGAGGGTATCCGCCACCAGTTTAGAGTCCCACACACAGGTAGGGTGAAGTTTTGAGCCTCTTTCAACAAAATAAAAAGCAAGCCCAAAATGAGGATGACATAAAGGGTATAGCACCCTCATTCTCTGTACACAACAAAGGATGTATGCACATCAGTACCACACACAGGGCTGGCCCTTGGTGACTACCCTCTACAACAAGGTGTCACACCTTCTGCTCCTTGGGTGCCCAGGTGCACAGATGGGTGTACAAGGGTTAGCAAGAGTGGCTTACTTCTGTACTTAGGGGTAGGGCAAGACCTCCAAAGACACACACCTTACATTCCATGAGAAAGACATGAGAGAGTTTCACATTTCCTCTCCCCTGACATCACTTGCAACCCAGATACTCAGGTCATAAACTGGATCTGCAATGATCTTGATATCAAGCTGCTCAACACAATCCAACAGTTTTGTGCATAGGGACCCTACCTCCATGGGGAGACTCCCGGATGTCCCAAATCAGAACCCGGCCATCATCTGAAGAACTAGCGAAAATGTTGTCATTCACAGGGCTCACTGACAAGCCATACACTGCATCTTCATGGGCAAACACATCCAAAGTCTCACTGCTGAGACAGAGAACAAAAGAGAGGCATACATATATACAGAATAGTGAGAGTCCCAGCCTTCTGGCACCTAGAGCGCAGTCTCTATCATTTCTAAGAGAAAGTCAACCTAGCAAAACCCAAAGGATAGTATATTTGCTAAAAGGCAGGTATTCAACTTTCAGGTTAAAAAAGGAAAAAAGCTATTAATAGAGACTTTTTACAGATTTCATAATTTTTACATCAAATAAGCACATTTAAGCCGGGCGGTGGCTCATGCCTGTAATTCCTACACTTTGGGAGGCAGAGGTGAGAGGATTGCATGATTCCAGGGGTTCAAGACCAGCCTGGGAAACTTGGTGAGACTTCATCTCTAAAATAAATAAAAAAGAAACTAGCCAGACGTGGTGGCACACACCTGTGGTTCTAACTAATTCTAGCTACTTTGGAAGGCTGAGGCAGAATGATCACCTGAGCCCAGCAGGTTGAGGCTGCAGTGACAATGAGCACTCCATCCTGGGCAACATAGTGAGACTCATACTCCCCAAAAAAAGCATATTTAAAAATGACTCAACAGCTGAGTTTCGTTTTCTTTTATAAAAGAAGGCATGTGCTTGTGTACAGATTTGAGGGTGGTGTGCCTGATTTCCAAAAAGCAAGCAACCAGCAGGGGTGGAAGACTGATCTAACAATCTGTCATGGTGATTGAGAGCATGATTCTGAGGCCAGACTGGCTCAATTCAGATTCCAGCACCAGCTGTCCTGAGTTACCTAACGTCTCTGTGCCACTGCTACCTAACCTATAATGGAAATCACAATATCCCCACACGAACGACTGTGAGGGTTAAATGAATCAATACATACAAACATGTAGAATGGTGCCTGGCTCATATTAAGAACTCAATTAACATTAGCTAATTAGCCAGGCATGGTAGCGCGTGCCTGTAGTTCCAGCTACTTGGAAGGCTGAGGCAGAAGGATCGCTGGAGCCCAGCAGGTCGAGGCTGCGGTGGCCGGGAGGAGCCACTGCACTCCAGTCTGGGCGACAGAGTGAGACTCCAACTCAAAAAAAAAAAAAAAAAAAAAAAATATATATATATATATATATATATATTAGCTATTATTGTTACTAAACATTATGCTCTCTTCTCTGCCAACTTGTTTTAAATTTTTTTCTAAAACCTATAGTTTCATACCAACTTTCAAAACCCTTTTTCTTATTACTTATTTATTTTTATTTTTTGAGTCAGGACCTCACTCTGTCACCCAGACTGGAGTACACTGGCATGATCACAGCTTACTGCTGCCTCGGCCTTCGCTCAAGCAATTCTTGTGCTTCAGTCTCCCGAGTAGCTGAGACTGCAGGTGTGCACCACCACGCCCAGATAATATTTTCTAGGCTGGTTTTGAACTCCTGGGCTTAAGCAATCCTCTCATCTTGGCCGCCCAAAGTGCTGGGATTATAGGTTGAGCCATAGTGCCCAGTCCCTTTTTCTTTTATTAAATAAAAACTTTAATTCAAAACTATTACAGGAAACTTTTTTAGAAAAGAATAGCTGCTATCATGCTGTTTTCATCAAAAAACAAAAGCTAGGCCATTGTTTTGTTAAGCACTGGCCAGGTCATATGTTCTTTAACTATGGCTAGGCCATGTTTTTCTAGCTTTTGTACCCTCCCCTACCTTGGAAAGGTGAATCCTTACTCTCCCTCTCTCTCTAATTTACTTTTCTAAATAAACTATATTTTCCAATCTATAAAAAAAACAAAAAACCCCAAAACTATTTTGGCCTAAAGAGATATATGGCACTCTTCATATGAAAAACAGAGTCAAAATCATCTTCACACAGCATCAATCTATTTACCTTTCAACATCATGGAGGATAACTTGCTCATCATTTCCTGTAAAGGAAAAAAGCAGATGTGTGTGTTAACCCCTGTAAATTAGTCCCTCTCCACATTACAATCTAGTATTTGAACGTTTTCAGAGAAAAAAAAAATGGAGAAAGTCAATGTTAATACAAATTAGGAGTGTTAACTAGAAAAAAAGGTTTATAAAAATAATTTAAGAAGGATAGGATATTTTTATAGAGAATTTTAAAAAACATAATAGCAACGAGCTATAACATAATAACAGTTTCCAAAATGTATTATCCAGTGGATGATGTGAAAAACTATAGCTATTAAGGAAGAGTAAATGATCATGGGTAAATCAATTAATTCAGTCGTCCCAGTTAGCTTTTTGCTTTCTCCAGCAAAACACTCATTAACTGTGAGACCTGAAATAAAATCTCTAACATTTCTATGACTCAGTTTTTCACCTGTAAAATACAAATAATAATTCTACCTACTTCATAGGGTAATTATAAGGTGAAGAGTAAGTATGTGAAAGCATTCAGCATTCAGAATATGTCTGAACATTTAATAAGCCCTCCATTACAGTTTGCTAACAGGCCAGGCTCGGTGGCTCAGCCTGTAATCCCAGCACTTTGGAAGGCCAAGGCGAGTGGATTACCTGAGCCCATGGGTTTGAGACCCACCGGGGCAACTTGGCAAGACCCTGTCTCTACAATAAATCAAAAAATTAGCCAGGCATGGTAGCACATGCCTGTAGTTCTAGCTACTTGGAAGGTTGAGAAGGATCACTAGAGCCCAGGGGTGGCCATGAGTGTGCCACTGCGCTCCAGCCTGGGCAATAGAGTGAGACTCAAACTCAAACTCAAAAAAAAAAAAGTTTGCTAATATTCCTATTCTCACCATCTTTTATGGCATTAACATTTAAAGACAGTGTGATTCTAAGTGATGAGAAAGTTTTGAGGGTTTTTTGTTTTTTTTTTAATAAAGACTGACAGTTTAATTAAGACAAAGCAAAAAAATCTATACATTGTGAGATGAGAAAGTTTCTATCTGGCATTTCTCCTTATTCTATGAAGGGAGAGAAATCATATTCATGATATGCCTTCAAACGAATTATACTGCCAAAAAATAAAAAACTGAAATGAAAAGACAAAACATAGAAAATGTCCCACTCTTGCTAAATTGCGCAACCAATGGTCACTTAAATAGAAAGCAAAAGTAGCAGTAAAGATGTGACCCAGGTCATCTTAAACAAAGCCCTAGCTATTGTGGGAGCAAGCCAGTGAAATCAGTAAGCACATCCTAAAATCGTCTAGACTATCAGGCATATGAGAATATGAGAAGAGGAAGATTCTGCCCTGGGCTCAAGAAACTCACAGTCCAACTGCACAAACACAAGACAACCAAAGGATTTGTCTTATAGCAATATGATCTAACTATGGGGGGACAATTCTCTTGTTCATGAACAGAGGAGTTAAAAGTACATGGGAGCCGGGCTCGGTGGCTCAGCCTGTAATCCCGTGCCTTTGGGAGGCTGAGGTGAGTGGATTGCCTGAGCCCGAGGGTTCGAGACCCGCCTGGGCAGCGAGACCTCATCTCTACAATAAATCAAAAAATCAGCCAGGTGTGGTAGTGCATGTCTGTAATTCCAGCTACTCAGAAGGCTGAGGCGGAAGGATCACCGGAGCCCAGCAGGTCGAGGCTGCGGTGGCCAGGAGCGGCCACTGCACTCCAGTCTGGGCGACAGAGTGAGACTCCAACTCAAAAAAAAAAAAAAGGAGTCACAAGGAGCGTCACTTCCTCTACCTAAATTTCAGTTTGCCCTGCAGAGTCTGGAGCCCAGGCAGAAAACAGCCACGAGGCGGGGCCACTGCAGAAAGCCCCCACTAGGGCAATTCCCAGTGATGCTATGGGGGCACAGTTGCACCGAGACCAACAACTGGAGCCACTGGCATGTGATTCTAGCTGGGGAGAGATGCAGGGTCGAGATCTAGGCACAGAGCCATCAGGGAGCAGGGCCACTAGAGAACTGCCATGGGGATGTGGCTGCTCCATGTCATGAGGGCAGGTCCACAACCCAGTGGGTCCAGAAGTGGAACTTTTCGACTGGGCGCAGTGGCTCAGCCTGCAATCCCAGCACTTTGGGAGGCTGAGGTGAGATTGCCTGAGCCCGGGGGTTCGAGACCAGCCTTGTCAACTTAATGAGACCTCACCTCTAAATCACAAAAAACTAGCCGGCTGTGGTGGCATGCATCTGTAGTTTCAGCTACTTGGAAGGATGAGGAGGAAGGATCGCCGGAGCCCAGCAGGTGGAGGCTGAGGTGACCGTGAGTGAGCCACTGCACTCCAGCCTCCAGCCTGGACAACAAAAAGTGAGACTCCAAATCAAAAAAAAAAAACAAAAAAACAGAAGTGGGACTTTTACCCTGCTAGGCCTGAAGGACAAACCTTTGAGTCAAGCCTTAAGGTTTTAGACTTACTCAGGACCCATAATCCCATTTTTTTTTTTTTTTTCGAGTTGGAGTCTCACTCTGTCACCCAGACTGGAGTGCAGTGGCCGCTCCCGGCCACCGCAGCCTCGACCTGCTGGGCTCCGGCGATCCTTCCGCCTCAGCCTTCCAAGTAGCTGGAATTGCAGGCGCGCGCTACCACGCCCAGCTCATTTTGATTTATTGTAGAGATGAGGTCTTGCCAAGTTGCCCAGGCGGGTCTCGAACCCACAGGCTCAGGCAATCCACTCACCTCAGCCTCCCAAGGTGCGGGATTACAGGCTGAGCCATCGAGCCTGGCTGCATTTTTTTTCTGTAAACCAAGAAGAGGAAAAATTCTAAGCTCCCCAATGGACTGAACAAAAAAGCAAAATTCCAGGTTATAATGGAAAAGGGGGTCAGACACACTTTGTTTAATTACAACTGACCAGCATTGACATTAAAATAGAGGTCATAAAACTGACAAAACAGAGTCTATGGCAATTGGATACCAAATTCCAACCTGGCAGATAGCATCACATGACAGATAGCAAGCCCTAAAGGAAATAAAAATATTTTACCCCAAAATATGTTTCTTCAACCTATTTAGAAACGACCCTGGAAAGCTTGGGGAAATTTGCATCTGTAGAGAAACTCCTTTCCTAGGAAGAGTCTGATACTTTAAGACATTTACCACCTAATCTTTCTGAAGCCTTAGAAGCTTCATCTACATAACAAGAACTTTGGTTTCCACAAATCCCTTATCTTAACTCAGTCTTTCCATTGATTTCTTTCTTTTTTTTTTTTTTTTTTGAGTT